AAACTCTTCCATAGATACTACTGCTGTGCTGTTGCAAGTCCAAATGGTTACAGATCTTGGATGAGTTTTGTATTTGCTGAGTAATATATCTGTACCTTGCTGTTCAATAATTTCCACATTCCCTATAATAAGAAGGAGGCCTTTTAATGTGTTGATAACAAGGTGTAGAGCTGGATGAACACAGCAGGCCAAGCAGCATCAGAGGAGCAGGAAGGCTGACGTTTCAGAACTGTTTTGTATTTATATAGCACCTTTGGTGCAGTAACACAGTCAAAGATGCTTTGTAGTAGCTCTTTCGGATAAAGTTTGAGTTCAAAATTTATAGGGATATTAGAATAGGTTATCAAAAGCTTGACCAAAGTGGTATGAAGTTAGAAGTCACACACCACCAAGTTACAGTCCAACAGGTTTATTTGAAATCACAAGATTTTGGAGCATAGCTCCTTTGTCAGGTGAAGTGAGAGAGAAGCACATAGAACACAGAATTTATGCGCAGAGAGATCAAAAAATCATACAAATGGTGTCAACAACAAAAACAAAGTTGCTGGAAAAGCTCAGCAGGTCTGGCAGCGTTTTGGTTCTTTCAGTTTTCATACAAATGGTGTGAGTGGAGTGCCGAATAATAACTTTTTTGTAATTATCTCTCTGCCTCATTTAATTGGATTATAGATCATCCCTTCACTTGTTATTCAGCAGTTGACTCCTTACACCGTCTAGCACTTTGGATCACCTGCAGGGACTTAATATTCGGCACTCTGCTCACACCGTTTGTATGGCCTTTAGACCTCTCTGCCCTGGTCTCACCCTGCCTATTAATTCTGTGCCTGTGTGTTTCTCTTTCACTTCACCTCACGAAGGAGCTATGCTCCGAAAGCTCGAGGTTTCAAATAAACCTGTTGGACTGTAACTTGGTGTCTTGTGACTTCTGACTTTGTCCACCCCAGTCCAGCACCAGCACCTCCGTAAAGTGACATGATGTCTTAAACAAGGGAGCAAGGGGAGAAGAATTTCAGAGCTGAGGCCCTGATGGCTGAAGTCATGACCATCAATGTCAGAGCGAATCAACCAAGGATGCTTGAGAGATCAGAGTTGAAGAAACAAGAGTTCCTGTTGGGAAGTAAGACGGGAGAAGGTCACCGAGATGGGGGAGGGAGAGGCCACAAAGGGCATGAGAAGGGAATTTTAAAACTGAGACACTGTTAGACTGGCTGCTAGTCTAGAGCGGTAAGCACAGGGGTGTTGGGAGAATAGGAGTTGGTTTGAGCTGGATGTGGGCGGTAGGCCAGGAGAGTCACTGTAATCTGTCATGTGATACAGCACTAGATTCACATACCTGAAATTTCTGGAAATGTTGGCTTGTCTTCTTGCCGGATGTACCCATCACAAAGAGAAAGTCAGGAGTCAGAACAAAGGGCACTCTCTCTTTATTGATTCCCAGGAAGCTTTTATAGTTCCCAAGAATATGACCAAAATCAATATGGAAAAGATTTCCTGAATGGAATAAAGCAGAAACTTGTCATTTTTCCTATTGGTGCAAGTGTTCATAATACTCTCATGACTATTAATGAGGCTGTCAAACAAACTGGCAGGAAGATCACTAACTAACTAACACTGATTTAAGACGATTAGCAAAAGAACCACAGAAAGATAAGAATTGTTTTGAGCAGCAAGAACATTCTTGAATGCATTGACAGACTGGTAGAAACATTCAATCATAATTTTCAGAAGGGATTTGGATAAATACCTAAAAGATCAAATTTGCAGAGCCAAGTGGAAACAGTAGGACTAATTGCTTAGCCAAATACCTTGTGCCAAATGACTTCCTTCGGTTATGCCTGTCTCTTTCTACTCACACCTCCAGTACAATGATGATATCATCAGTGCTGCTTCAATCTCTCGTCCAGAATGGAAAAAATGATCAAAATCGCTTCTAATTTCCACCCTGCTCTCACCTTCATCTGGTTCATCTCTGACTCCTCCCCTCCCTTACTTGACATCATGGTTTCCATTTCTGGAGACAGGCTCACCACCAATATACGCTACAAACACGCCGACTCTCACAGTTATCTCAACTATACATCCTCACATCCTGTTTTCTATAAAAAATCCAGCCTATTCTCCCAGTTTCTCCATCTTTGTTACATCTGTTCTGATGATGCCACCTTCCATAGCAGGGCCTCAGTAATGTCCACCTTTTTTCTTAACCAAGGAATTCCCACTACTTGTGGTTGACAGAACTCTTAGTTGTGTCCAACCCATTTCCCACACGTCTGCCCTCACCCCTTCTCTTCCCTCCCACAACACTGATAGGATCCCCTCGTCCTCACTTTTCACCCCACCAGAATCCACATCCAGAGGATTATTAGCCATCATTGCTTCCAACCCCCCTTGCCCCTCCGACTGGGATGCCACCACCAGACACATTCCCTTCTCCTACCTTGTCAGCATTCTGAAGGGACCACTTATTTGTGCACTGATAGGCCAGTGAGCAAATGGTTTGAATCTTTTGGTCAAGATGGGATGGATTGGGAAGGTGATGGCTTAGTAGTACTGTTCTAGTTTATTAATCTAGAGACCAAGGTGATGGTCTGCAGACATAGGTTTAAAACCTGCCATGGTTGATTCTTAATTCTAGATTTTTATTGACTTCAGAGTCTAATGATGACTATGAAATTGTTGCCAGCAAATGCCCATCTCATTCACTAATGCCCTTTAGGGAAGGAAACAGTGTCCTTACCTGGTCTGGCCTATGTTTGATGCCAGACCTACAGCATTGTGATTGACTCTTAACTGCTCCCCCACCCCCGCCATGGCATGTAAGGATGGGCAATAATGCTGGCTTTGCCAGTGACATCCACATGCTGTGAATAAATAATCAAAAAATTAATTCAAAAATGAAGGAAAAGATGGCATGCATTCATTTGAAGGCCACCCTTCCTGTTATTTCAGAGTATAAACAATAGGAGCAGGAGTGACACACTGGCCCTTTTAGGCTGCTTTGCTATTTACTAAAATCACGCGTTATCTTCTACCTAAATGCCACCATCCCACACAATCCCATATATCGTCAGACATACAGTTCTTGGGAGTAAAGAATTGTAAACATTGGCAATCCTTTTCATGGGAGAAGTTTCTCCTTAACTGACTGGTTAATCTTGTAATCTGAGACTATGACCTCCCCCAAACTCTAGATTTACCAGCTGGGGAGAACACCTTCCCAGTTTCTATCCTCTAGGGATTTTGCATGTTTTAATGTGATTAGTTGACAGCATCATCAATGTGCTTAGAGGTTTGTTCTCCTGCTCCTAAAAGCTATCTATGTTACTGCTTAGTCACAAATATCATGTTGCGACTTACATATCTACCCTGCACTACTGTTTGCATGCATTTCTCACTTTGCTTGCACTGAAGTCTATCATATCTTTCACACTCACTGATTAGCTCATGCAACAGTGCTGCCTGACATTTCTCACTTTCCACAGTTCTGCTTCCTTTAGGCCTGTGACCCACTCTTAAGGTTAGTCATGGTTTTGTGGGCAGCAGTAGCCCTGCTATACCACAACTCTCAACAGCAGCATGTTTCTGGAAAAAGCAAATTTACAGCTTTTAAGAAAATTTCTATTTGTTAAATAGGCAATTTGCAGCAAATTTGTGTTCCAAGGACAGAGGGCAGACAGGTTACAGTGGAGTGCATTAGCGTGAACCTTATCCTATGTTCCAGATATCCCCATACACAAACTTTCACAGGGTTAACTTCCCTATTTCTCTCTTAGTAGCCCAGGATTGGCTGAAACTAGTTGACGTGGCTGGAATGGTTCACCTTGGAGCAGAGGTCAAGGGAGCTTTAACTGTTCAAAATTCTGTTGAATCTTTATAAAGTAATTAAAGAATGGCTTGAATTGGACTGATGATCTATAACCAAAGGACTGAGATTTAACATAATTATCAAAAAAGCCAAAAGAGAGATGAGGAGAACTTTCTTTTTTTAATTTTGCAGTGAACTATGTTGAACTGGAATGAGCTACCTACCTCATAAGGTACTGAATTCGATAGTAATTTTCAAAAGGAACGCCGATAAATACTTGAAGGAGGAAAAGATTTATAAGTCTGTGACATAAGAATTGGACAGTCTGACTTAATCGATAGCTCTATCAAAGAACAAACATGATGTGCCAAAACATTTCCTTCATTGCCTAATGTTTCTTCAAATCCCTTTTCTTCCAAAGTTGCCTTGATAAATCAGTGCAGATCGACAATGGAGTAGAGATGTGTGTGTCTTAGTATCACTGAAGCCTTCTGAGGAAAACATTTAAATCATCCTATTAGACACTCCAAACTCACCTGACTCTGTGATCATGATGTTGTCATTGTGCCTGTCTCCTATTCCCAGGATGTAGGTGGCAACACAATACCCAGCGCATGAGTAAACAAACCTTTCAACAGCTGACTGGTACTGCAACATCAATGAAGAATGGTTTCAGTTTGCATAGTTGAGGAGGCATTTCTGATACTAAACACCATAACAAAAGAGGCCATCCAGTACAGTTACATCAAAAAGGGTCAAAGAATCGACACACATCATCCAAAAATAAACAGTGCCAGAGAAAATGTTGGTAATGTTTGCTTCAACAGTTAGATTTGTGATGGCAGAGAAGGCAGCAGACACGTGATTAATAAGGCAGAATGGATCCTAGAAGACACATAGACAGCTCATTCTGTCTGATGGTCATTTTATTCAAACTCTATGAAATATCAACTTTGACATTAAATTGCAGCCCATATGGTTTTGGTAAGGTACCAGATGCCTGTCCAGTATTCAGTACCATCACCAGTGCATTGATACAATTCCGGGGATAACACAGTGTGGAGCTGGAGGAACACAGCAGGCCAGGCAGCATCAGAGGAGCAGGAAAGTTGACATTTCGGGTCGCGACCCTTCTTCAGAAAAAAAAAATGCCCATTTGGTTCTCGGGAAAGCAGTGAGTCCGACTGGTTTCTAGTGTTTTTGAGCAAATTCAGTAACTCTCTGCTGGTCTGACATTCTTGAAATGCTACAGCAACCTGCCTGCTACCTGCAAACGGTTCAATTCCTGCCATTAGTCTGCTAGCCATGAACCAGTCCATTAGCAGTGAGCTGGTCCAGTACCTGGTCAACAGACCTACGTAACTAGGCCTGGGCAGAAGATTTTAGTTTAACTTGACCGTTGTTTGGACAGTTCCATATTATATTCACTGTGGCCAGCTAATGGGGTGGCATAGTGGCTCAGTGGTTAGCACTGCTGCCTTACAGCACCAGGGACCTGAGTTTGATTCTACCTGCGGGCAACTGACTGTGTGGAGTTTACACATTCCCCCTGTGTCTGCATGGGTTTCCTCCCACAGTCCAAAGATGTGCAGGTTAGGTGGATTGGCCATGCTAAGTTGTCCCGCAGTATCCTGGGATGTGTAGGTTAGGTGGGTTAGCCATGGGAAATGCAAGGTTATAGTGTGGAGGGGTGTCATGTGTCTGGGTGGGATGATCTTTGGAGAGTTGGTGTGGACTTGATGGGCCAAATGACCTGCTCCCATACTGCAGGGATTCTATGAGGTCAAGCTGCCATTTAAAAAAGAAATAACACTGCCAAACAAGCCATTTTGTAGTTATTTTAATAACCCTGTTCTGACACACCTCTGAGGCAGGTGAGACTTGCACTTGCACCTTCTGACTCAGAGGTGGGTATTGTACTGCTGCACCTGGTATTCCTAGGTGGTCTTCCATCCATGTACTAGCCAGACCTGAGTTTGATTAACTTCCAAGATCAGACTCATAAGGCATTTTCGGACATATTATGAGATACATCCTGCTCTGGTGAGACTTGAACCCAGACCTTCTAGCCCAGAGGCAGGGAGACACCACAATGCCATTAGAGTCCTTGGGCAGCCATTTTGTATTCTGCGCTTAACAATCATTCAACATGTAATGAACAAAATTTACTGTAGAATCACTAACCATCCAGAAAGAAATGATTGAATAATTACCTTAATTATTCTGTAATTGAAGAATAATTAATTGATCAAGTAGTTGTCAAGGTCGGGAACATAGTGATATCTGTCAATTTAAACATATAAACTCGCAGCAGCAAGCTTTGTTGTGGGAACGGGAGCAGTCAGGTACTGAGAATGAATGTGTACTTTGCCCTGGTCATCTGGAGCAGATGCATGGTAAAAACAGCAGGGATTTGCATGACAGCAATGTGCAGAGCTGGATGAACACAGCAGGCTAAGCAGCATCATAGGAGCAGAAAGGCTGACGTTTCGGGCCTAGACCCTTCATCAGAAATGGATTTGCATGAACCTAGATAAAATTATGAACTGTCTTTTATTCTCCTTTGCAGAGCAGTGGACACAAATTGTCAAATCCAATGAAATTAAGCCACTAGAGCAATATTGGTAATGCTAATTCAGGAGATTAAAAGGACAGATATGTAAATCTCTTGTAAAAGTTTACATCATTTACCTTGTCTTCAATCGGGCACTTGTCTTTCAGCCAGTGATTCAACACTTCATCTTTAAATGCCCCGGTGTTGCCGACTGTGCTCTGCTGAATCTTAGCAATGGTTGTGGCATCTTTCACAATCTGAATCATTCCTGTAGAAGTACAACAACACTTTGGATTTGTGATCTTGGACAGAAATACATGAAACTGCTAAGCCAGGCACCTGTGCCTCAGATGGGTTCACCATTGTATGGTGATAATATTACCTTCACATCAGTGACTGGGCTCATATTAGACACAAGGTAAATGACTGGTAACCAATGGACTGAGGTCCACTACACAGCTATCTTTGCACATAATGCAAGAGATGCTAGCACTATGAACCTTAAATAGGACACTACCATCGCTAACTCCATTTCCCACATGAACCATTGTCAATCATTGCTAATTCATTTCCATTGTGGTGACTTTGAACCTTGGTCCCACAGGCCAGTATATAAACCATCCAGTTCTTCAGATTAAACAATAGGTTTAGGGGCCAGAGGCTAAGGTGAAGATAATTTTTTTACCGATTTTGTTTCCTGTTGCAATACAGCCATATGGCAAAAGACAAAGATCCAAAGATTCTATCTCCCAGATTGAGTCCATAATTAGAAGGATCTGTGGATAGATAAAATTATTGTTTCATTTATTAAAATAGTATTGAAAGCAGTAACTCCATGCAGCATCATGAAACAATTGACATTCCAATACTGTTCACTTCTCACACATTACCAAGCTTTGTAGAGATGCCTGCTGAATTGGATTATTCTTTATATTATGCACCCCTTCCCCTGTCCTATAATATATACGGTAAACTCCTTTGGATCAGCTTATGCTCTAAACCGCTTTGTTTGGTAGAATAGAGAAGCAGAGCTGGAAAACTAGTAAATGTTGGTCATCAGAAATTTGGGTATCCTTGATCATGACTCACAGACAGTTGGCATGTATGTATGGTAAACAATTCATAAGGCATGTGGTACTTTAGGTTTTTATTGCAAATGGGGTTGGAATATGGGGTATAAGAGCACAACTATAGGGTAGTTATGTTGAACTTGTATCAGACACTGGTTTAGCCTCAGCTGGAGAATTGCATCCAGTTCTAGGCAATATACTTTAGGAAGGCTGTGAACACATTGGACAGGAGACAGAAAAGATTCACAAAAATGGTTCCAGGAATGAGAACATTGAATTTTGTAAATAGATCTGATAAAGGTGTTCAAGACCATAAGGGGTCTGGACAGATGTGTTAAAGAATTGAGAACAAGAGAACACAATTTTAAAGTAATTGGAAAAAGTAAGAAGCAGTGACATGAGACTGTTTTACACCGGGAGTGGCTGGTGTCTGGAATACACTGCCCGGGAATGTGCTGGAGGCAGATAATTGAGGCATTAAACAAGGGAATTGGGTGGTTATTTGAAAAGGGAACAATGTGCAAGGTTGCTGAAAGGAGGTGCGATAATGACACTAAGTAAACTGTTTATTTGATGAACCCATGCAGGCAGAGTGGGCCAGATGGCTACTTTCGGTGCTGTAACAATTCTATGGTTCTGTCCCTTTAGTAGTTTCAATGAATGAGAGATGATCTCATTGAAACTTGTAAAATCCTTAGAGACCATAAGAGGGTACATGCTGAGAGGCCGGTCCTGGCCTCTCCAACCAAGGAAAACAATTTCACATTAATGGGATGGTTACTTATATAAGAGCTAGGAACAGGAGTAGGCAATTGAGCCCCTCGAGCCCGCTCCGACATTTAATATGATCATGGCTGATCATCTTGGTTATTAAAAATCTGTCATCTGTCTACCTCCTCCTTAAATTTACTCAATGTCCCAGCATCCATTGCACTCTGGGGCAGTTTTCTGTAATTCCACAGATTCACGACCCTGTCAGAAAAGTTATTTCTCCTCATCTCTGTTTTAAATCTGCTAACCCTTATCTATCCTGTGAAGAGCTTTATGATATTTTATTATGCTAAAGACATTAATGTGATTAATTTAAAGTCAATTATCTGCTTCAAATTCCACCAGCTTTTCTGGTGTGATTTTACTCCATGTACCCAGCACACTATTCAAACTTGTACATGACGAATCAAATGACATTACCACTGAGTCACCACCTTCCCCAAATGAGGAGTGTTAGGTAGATCTGTGAACATTATACTGAAGACCACTGAAATGCAGACCAATTAAGTGAACAGTAGTGTGTATGAGGCCATTACAGTGAAGGATGCTGAGTTACAGTACTGGACAGGATCAAAGATTCATAAAGAGTATTTCTGAGCATCACCTGGATGATCAGCATGTCCTGCCTCAGGTCATCTCCATGTTTAAAGATGATCCCAATGGTGTCCTTGGATATAGAGGTGAGGTCCGCACACTTGAACTCTAGCCACAGGGGTTTTTTCTTTGATGGCATAACCTTACATTTATCCACCTGCAAAGCAGTTAACAGAAAGCAAAAGCCAAGTCAGGTGATTTCTTTCATTTTGCATTCTGGCGGCAATTTTAGTAGATACACTGATTACACAAATCAATTCATTTATGATTTGGTTCTAACTGTGTGATGTAGTGCACAGTATATCACAAGAGACTGGTATTTGGATACCTTAGCCAGCACTTAACCACATCTCTCACAAACTTGTCAAAACATGTCACAGGTGACAGATGAGTTTTAAGTTCAAGCTTATTATTTAGACCTCAAAAATATTATTCAATGTTGCAATTTCTGAATGACAGATAATTTAAGTTTGTGTATAATAATCGACCCATTATAGTGTTATAGTGAAACAGTGTATTTCTGACCAGAGAGAGTCACAATCAAATTAACCAGCCCTTTATTCAGTGATCCCTGTTTGGAAAATGTACCTGTGAGTGTGTGTATGGCACTTTAATGAGGTGCTGGAGAACGGCTGACAACTGTGAACCAGTATATTTAACAGGTCAGTGTCCATGTGTTGAATTAGACAGCAAAAGACTTTCAGAGATTTACAAGGGTTTTATTGTACATCTACAGTTTAGCACAAACACCAGTTTTCACCTTTCCCTTTCCAGAAGCTAACTCCCTGCTGGGAAAGAACCCAGTTCTTTTCTTAAAAATAAATTAAATAACCAAATTACAAACAGAAATAAAAACTGCCTATCAGGACACTAGAACAACCAGAAATTTAAAAAAAAATCAAAATGGGGGAATCTAAGGGGACCAGATCAAAATAGTATTGCAGGAGGAAATGGTACACCTATCTCCCATCTATCCCAAAAAATTGGTGGACATTCTGTGCTCCCTTTCTAAGGACACTCTGTCACAAACATATCCATTGGAAAAGAGGCAGGCAGTCAGGAATACAACCCTCCTCACATCCCACTGCCAGGATATATTCATGGCCAGTTTAGACAGGAATGGGGGCAAGGCCCATGGGGAAGTACTCTGATCTGCAGCATCCTTCCATATTGGGCACCCAAAGATCAAGAAAAATCCCACCTTATTTCTTTTCAATTTACAAAACCCACCACCAATTTATCAAATCACCCAATTAATCAAATTACAAGCACATGTAACAAAAACAAAACATGTTAACAAAGGAAACAGGGATGGGAATAACAGTTTTTAAAAACAGCTTTTTATAATTTTATAAACCTACCAGCTAGTTATCTAATCACCAAATTAACAAATTGCAAACACTGTACACCAAATGGCAGTGTGAAAATAAGACGAAGCAAAAAGGTGGGAAAACAAGGAAGCGGTTAAATCAAAATTATGGGGAAATATGGCACTCCACCCACTGTGGTGCCCAACTCTCTTTTCTAAATGCCTCAAGATGAACTCTATGTGCTCTCTCCCCACCCAGGTGTGAAAGTAGCCACCAGAAGAAAGGCAGCCAGTTAGGGAAAAAGCCCAGCTCTTTCCTTTCTAAATAAACCCACCAACAATTAGACCAATTACCCAATTAACAAATAACAAATTACAAACACTGCTACCAGATGTAATATTGGCATTCATTTCAAGAAGGCTAGTATACAAGAGCAGAGATGTACAAGTGCTTGAAAACAGTATTAGAATAGGTACTTGTTTTTGACCAGTGCAAACCATAAGACGTAGGAGCAGGTTTAGGCCTTTCGGCCCATTGAGTCTGCTATACCGTTTGATCATGGCTGATATGTTTCTCAACCCTATTCTCCTGCCTTCTCCATGTAACCCTTGATTTCCTTACGAATCAAGAACATATCTATCTCTGTCTTACATACTGTCAATGACTTGGCCTCCACAGCCTTCTGCAGTAATGAGTTCCACAGATTCACCACCCTCTGGCTGAAGAAATTTCTCCTCATCTCAGTTCTAAAGGGTCATCCCTTCACTCTGCGGCTGTGCCCTTGGGTCCTAGTAGAGACATCTTTTCCACATCCATTCTATCCAGGCCTCTCAGTATTCTATACATTACAATTGGATCCCGCCTCATCCTTCTAAACTCCATTGAGTACAGACCTAGAGTCCTCAATTGCTCCTCATATAGCAAGGCCTTCATTCTCAGGATCATTCCTGAAAACCTCCGGAGCTCCAAGGCCAGCACATCCTTCATTAGATATGGGACCCAAAACCGCTCACAATATTCTAAATCCAGTCTGACCAGAGCCTTATACAGCCTTAGCAGTACATCTCAGCTTTTGCATTCTAGCCGTCTTGAAATGAATGCTAATATTACATCTGCTTTCCTAACTGCCAGAGTGAACTTGTATGTTAACCTTGAGAGCCCTGAACTATTACTCCTAAGTTCCTTCTTGCATCAGATTGCCCAAGCCTTTCCTCATATAGAAAATTGTCTACCCCTCTATTCTTCCCACCAAAGTTCACAACTTCACACTTTCCCACACCATATTCCATCTGCTTCTTCTTTGCCCACCATCCTAACCTCTCCAAGTCCTTCTGCAGCCTCCCCACTTCCTCAACACTACCTGTCCCTCCAACTATCTTTGTGTCATCTGCAAACTTAACAACAATGCCCTCAGTTCCTTTGTCCAGATCGTTAATGTATAATGTGAATAGTTGTGGTCCCCACACAGACCCCTGCGGAACTCCACAAGTCAGCAGCTGCTGCCCTGAGAAACACCCTTTTATCCCCAGTCTCTGCCTTCTGCCAGTCAGCCAGTCCTCTATCCATGCCAGTACCTTGCCCCTGACACCGTGGGCTCTTATCTTATTTAGCAGCCTCCTATCCAACACCTTGTCAAAGGCCTTCTGGAAATCTGAATAGATCACGTCCCCAGGCTCTCCTCTGTTTAATTTGCTCGTTACCTCCTGAACCATGACCTCCCCTTCACAAAGTTGTGCTGACCCAGCCCTATTTTACCATGCACTTCCAAGTGCTCCGCAATCTCATCCTTAATAATGGACTTTAAAATCTTACCAACAACTAAAGTCAGGCTAACCTGTCTATAATATCCTGTCTTCTGCCTCCATCCCTTCTTAAACATTAGCCACTTTCCAGTCCTTTGGGACCCTCCCTGACTCCAATAATTCCTGAAAGATCACCACCAATGCCTCTACAATCTCTGCAGCTACCTCCTTCAAAACTCTGGGGTATAGTCCATCAGGTCCAGGTGATTTACCCAGTTTCAGACTTTTCAGCTTCCCCAGCACCTTCTCCCTAGCGATGGTCATTACACTCACCTCTGCCCCTGACTCTCTTGAAGTTCTGCTATGCTGCTAGTATCTTCTACAGTGAAAACTGATGCAAAATACCTGTTCAGTTCCTCCGCCATTTCTTTGTTCCCCATTATTCTTCTCCAGCCTCATTTTCCAGTGGTCCAATATCCACTCCTGCCTCTCTCTTACCTTTTATATATCTAAAAACCTCTTGCAATCTTCTTTTATATTACTCGCTAGCTTTACCCAGATTTCACCTTCTTCCCACTTATTGCTTTTTCAGTTAGACTCAACGGGTTGAAGGGCCTTTTCTGTGCTGTAGACCTCCTTGACACCATAACTCAGCTCTTAGGTATTTTTTAAATCAACCTCTGCAGTGATGTAATGACACCCCTCTGGGGGAGGTGGGACTTGAACCCAGACCTTCTGGCACAGAGTTAGCAACGTTATCATTACACCACAAGTTAAAAGGACTCAGCTCTTCTCTTATTTTACCTTATATACAGAAGTGTTCTTACACACAACTGAATCTTCCTTTTCCCATCACCAAATCACCAGTCTGACTGATTAGACAAATAACAAATTACAAACACTGCCTGCCTGGATTTAGATTAAGTCCCTTGCTTAGGGTTACAAGCCAGGGTCATCCATCTGAACCAGCAAATGCTTGGTGGAAACTACGGGGTTCTAGAACCTCAGGGGACAACAGCAGCTTACAGACCTCAATTCCCAGGGGCTGACTAAGAGTTAGAAGATAGGTGGAAGATCTTTTGGGAAGATGGTTTGTGTTTTCCTAACAAAACACAAGGAAGACAATGGGATAACACCTCATTTTCTCTTTCCTATAATCACATTGCTCATTGTGAACTGCAAATGGCAGGTTCCAACAGGCAGTTGAGGAGGAAGGCACAAGACAAGTTGGCTTTGGGGAAACTAGCAGAGGACCTGTCCTTGGGAGATCACCTCTGCTACAAACCAGCAATTCCCCTTAAAGAATGTTCTGACAGTGAAAGAAAAAATGACCAAGTTAAACACTCATCTATCCTGCAATATACACATGAATGATCAAGCACCACTTCTGCCATTCTCTAAAGGCAATCTGTGCCACAGTTAGTGTGCAAGTTAGCAATTCCAAGGCTGTTTTGGCCAAAGGCTGAAAGCAGACACAAAATTGGTGTTGTGCTGTTAAAAAAATGCCTGGATTTAGTCTGGATATAGCTGGCAATTTTTAGACTAATTGCTGATTGTCACGTCCCCGCTGGTGCTGAAACCAATGCTCATGAAATGCAATTTCTCTGGATCTGCATTTGAAGCCTGCACTCTCTCTCTCTCTCTCTCACAGACACTCATACAAACACAGAAGGTGTGGTTTGCATTGAATTTAGAGAAGCCAGACCCTGGCAGGATAGCTCCTGGAATTTAGCTCCAGTGAATTCTTGACAGAGTCTCCCGAATGTCCCCTTAGAAACACCACCAGAAAAATAGACACAACGAAGACTGAGGCAAAGTAGCTATTTAGTTCCACCGCCATTTCTTTCTTCTCCATGACTACTTCTCCAACCTCATTTTCCAGCAGTCCAATATATATTTTCATTGCACCAAAATCTTCTGCAACAAAGTTTAATCCCAACCAGTGGTCACTGTTAGGTGAGAGTATTGGAATAAGTACTGGCGACCAAAATGCTGTGAACCTTATTATTGAGTACTAGCAGATCATTTAAACAGAAAGCAGCCCTTTGGCAATTCTCTGTTTGACAGTCTTTAATGCAAGTTTCAATTCCTTTACCAAGATGGCATCTTGCATTAAACACAAGTTAAACTGACACTTCAGCTGCAGACCAAACTTTGGCCGTTGCAGAGGCTCTTCAGCATGTGAAATATCCAGGGAGAAGCACTTATGTAAAGTTTAACCTACCACAAGAGCACCTGCACGGAGGCCCGGGTCATATGGAACTCGGAAACATTCTGGGAAACCAGATGATTGCAGCTTCTCAAGTTTGTGTCTTAACTGCGAGATCGCTACAAATAAAACAGATTCAATCAGGAAAAACAAAACACATCAGACACTTCTCAGCTTTACTGTAAAAGCCATGAACTCAGAATTCCCATGTCAGGCATGGCTCAGCTGGTAGCACTCTCACTTCTGAAGCAGCATGATCGAGTCTCACTCAGAGATTGAGCACAAAAGTCCAGGCTGACAATCCAAAGCAGTGATAGAGCTCTCTGATGGACTGCTGCTTTGTCAGGGATGCTATCTCCATAATGAGACATTAATCCGAGGCCCAAGCTCCCACAGCTAAACAGAAAGCATCCAACAGCACTGTTTTGATCCAAAGCAGATAAGTTATCCCTGGTCACTAGTAAAAGCAACAGATTATCTGGTGAAGAGCTGGATGAACACAGCAGGCCAAGCAGCATCAGAGGAGCAGGAAGGCTGACGTTTCCCGAAACGTCAGCCTTCCTGCTCC